CATCACTCCAGAAGGCTGAACTGGCTCGTGGAAGCAGGATGGGCGAAATCTCGACAGACATGCATTCCAGGCCCTTCTCCGCTGCCTTCTCCGACAGCCTCGGACAGAATAATTCAGAGGGGGTTTGAAGAGGCTGTGGTCACCACGGATAAACGAGCCAGGGCTGACATGACAGGCTAAGACATCTGTCTCCATCGGTGTCTGGGAGCCTGGGCTCTGATGCTTTGCTCTCCCATTTCCAGTTGTGCAGCTGAAGAAACCACAGCTCAGAGATTGGGACCCTCACAGGGTCACAGGACTAGAAAGTGGCCGAGCTGAAATCTAAATCCAAGGTTTCTTCCTGACCCTATGTCACTGTCAATGAGTAACTTCAACCTGGTGTAAGGTGTTCCTGGTTAAATTTGGTGATTAACTGCAGGAAACCTCCATTTCCCAATTTGTCTTTGACCTAACTATTTGGTTCGTGTGTCTTCATCGGAAAGACATTTTTCTCCTAATATCCCACAATTCCTTTCCAAACAATGCAATACAGGAGAGCTAATCTCAGGGGCAAAACCAGCCTCATCTCATTGTCTTGGAGCTCCTTAAAATGCCCGGTTCCCCGCCAGGTGGGTGAACGCCTTAAGAACAGGTTCCAAGCCTCGTGTCCTAGCTCCTGGCAGAGTGCTCGGCAAATGGCAGGCCTTCGATACTCACTGGCTGGCTGCTTGGAGAAATGGTTTACGCAAAACCTCTTTATTCTAAGAAAGTAAAATTCATTCTCTAGCAAGCTGGGTGACCTTGGCTGGTGTGGGGAAGGAAAAATAATTTACCTTCCACCCTTTTAAGATTTTCTGTCTGGTCTAACAATCAAATTAACATGAGACAGATTGACGGAGGACAATAGCCAAATTTATTACGTATGTACATAGGTGGGTTCCTTAAGAATATGGGGCCCCAGGACAAATCAGGCATTTGAGGCTTCTATGGGATTCTGGACCAAGGAGAGGGAAGCGGGGCTCCAGGACTTCAAAGGGGAAGTAGGCAGCTCACAGGTAGATGAGAAAGAGCAAAGATGTGGTAAACGAATGAGACACAGAGGAGAGTCTCTAGATTCTTCTCTGTCTGCCACACTTAGGTCATGTTAGGATGCTAAGGGGACAGCTTCTTCCCTTTAAGCAGGTTTTTCTGCCTGAACTCCCTGAGGCAGGTAAAGGGAAGGGTCAAAGATTCTTTCTGATTCTTTCTTAAAAATAACCAGCCTAAAATAATATCCCCAAAGGCACATTTTGGGGTGACACACTGTGCTTAGTCCACCTGCGCCTCAGTCCGAACATTGGACCCAAAGGCACATTTTGGGGTGACACACTGTGCTTGCCCTCACCGGTCACTTAGTCCGCCTGCGCCTCAGTTCGTACATTGGAAGATGGCCTCAATCTTTGAAATGTTTCTTCCCTGGCATGCGCATTCAAGTGGAGAAAATGGTTAGTTGTTTTGTAGGTTGCACCACGATTTTTAGCTTGAAAGAAAGATTCATTAAATTACGCTCATATATGAGTCACCCACGAGAAGCAGGTGAGGCAGAACCTAACATTAGGCTCCAGAAAGAGCCCTAGAAAATCTAGGAGGAAAAAGGTGTTTTTACAGGATTCCCTACCAGCCATCACAAACCCACAGCAACACACGTCACCGTCAGCTTTGTTTTACAAACCTTGCACACTCACATCAGGAAACATTTACAAACCTTCTTTCGAGATTCAGGAAGGACGGTATGTGGGCTTTGGAACTCAACAGACCTAGGCTGGAATTCCAACCCTTTCAATGAATGTTCTTTGAAAAATTATCCTCTCCCTATCTCATTTTCTTCCACTATAAAATATTTTAGTAATACCTGTCTCCCGGGTCATTACGAATATTAAATGAGACAATTTCTGGATCATTGCCAAGACATGATAAAGGGCTTCTACGTCAGTGCCCAGCACTCATTAGGAGCACACACATTGCTCGTTTTTTTTGTTTGTTTGTTTCTATTAATATCTCCATTTTCTCTTAGCAAAGCCCAAAATCAAAGGAAGAATGTGCCTGGAGGTTTAAGGCATCAGGGACACACCTGTTGAGCGACATTCTTTCACTGAAGCACAGATGTGTATGTAGGTGTGTGGGAGAGAAAATGGTGTTCCACAGGCCAGCTCTGACCAAGGCGGGAGCCAGCCTTCTCTGTCTTACAGCTAGTGGTTGTGCAGGAAAGGCTGTGGTTGAGGAAGGATGGGAGAGGTGTGGGGGGAGATGCGGAACCAGGAAGGATGATTTGCAGTGGTTCAAGCAGGAGACTTGCGCCCAATGGTGATGAAACTCGAGAGAAGGGGACAGATGGGCGAGTTCCTCGGGAAGTAAAATCATGGACTCCTGATGATTATTTGGACCTCTGGTGTGACAGACAATGAGGCATCTGAGATGCCACACGGGGCTGGGGCTTGGGTGACCGGGTAAGTGGGGACCTCCCATGGAGGTGGTGAACTCAGGAAGAAAAGCAGACTTGAGTGGGAAGACACTGAGTTGCCTTTTGACTTAGGTGCCTAAAGACTTCTAGGTGGCAGTGTCTATCAGCATTTGAATTGGTATGCATTTAGGATTTAAGAAAGAGAGAGAACAATGGCCTGTGGTCACTGCAGAAAATGAGATGGCCGTGCAGGGGATTAGCTTTCGTTGGGGCAGAGGAAACAGCCACCAAACAGCTTTCTTCTCTGGAGAGGATTCTACAGAGACAGTTCAAAGGACAGCTGGGCAGAATCCTGGACTCGGGAGCCTTAGAGATTATCTAGTCTAAACGTCATTTTGCAAATGAAGAAACCGAAGTCCGAGATGCCCGCCCGACAGGCCTTCTCCAGGATCCCAGAGCAAGTGCCTCCAGGACCAGCCCCAGGTCTCCCAGAGCACCCCTTCTCTACCTGGGGGTCTCTATCTGTACTTCCTCCCTTGCCTCTCTCTCCCCTTGGATCAGGCTAGGCTGAGAAAGACGGAAGGAACAGCCATATGCAAAGGCAGATGGGAAACGGGAACAGCAGCGGAGATGGGACAAGGAGGAGCGAGCAAGGCTCCATCGCGGCCTGAACACGTGGCTCCTGCACAGGAGCCAGGACCAAAAGCTGACAGAGACAGACCCTTCACAGAAACCGCCACCTCCCGCTCAGCCACTCTCTCTGCGGGACAGTCACTCACCTTTCAGATGCATAGTTTTTAGAGAAAGACTTCAGGCCAGTGCTCTTCAAATTTCTGTTTCTAGCATTCTCTCAACACATTTGCTGTTAGCACACAAATAATCAAAACATCGCAGGTATAGTATCTATTTTTAAAAGCATGATTGAAAAGGGATCTCTTAATCGGATGGAATTTTCTCTCCTCGATTGGTTCGTGCATCCTAGAATGAAGCAGCATGCAACAGCAATATCATTCCAATTTTCCGCTTTTAGAGTTGTGAATGTTGAGAAACTCTGATCAGATAAAAAAGTTGGTGTTACCAAAAAGAGCAATGTCACTTGATCCTTGAACTTCTCAAGTACAGGTCTAAAGTGCTCTGTCATGGGAAACCACTAACCTTGCAAAAGGAGCTTCCCCCCAGTCTTTTGCTTCTTCAGCACCTGCAACAATGTTGCCAATCATCCCGTTGTCTGACACCCCCAAAGCTTTTGAGACACCAGGCCAACACACCATGGTAGAGAGGGAAAAGCGTGGTGTGAAGGAAGCCTCGGTTGTCACTTCTACCCCAGTAACACAGAAGGTGAAGATCTATGTACACCTTGGAAAACTCTCCAAATTCTGTACCTCTGAGCCAGGGCCGGAACTAGTGAAGTGAGGGATGCGCTCCCTGGGGGCACACAATTTCAGGAAGCACCAAGAAAAACCAGTAATCGTGATAAATAATGCTTGAATGAAATATTTTTTAAAATAAAAATTAATGCAAAAAAATTCATAACGAACAAAACATCAACGTTTAAAATAAAGACACGATCCCAGGACAAGTGTACCCCGGCTCTCAGTGTCCCGAATGTAAGTGTGTTCGTTGACGGCTGATTAATGATAGGTTACGATTCTCTTGCCCATACTGCCATCTGCTGCTGAACATGGGTAATGCTCACTGCCTGTCTGAGTGGTGCCCAGCGGTGCCTCCCCACCAGGACCCATGTTCATACACACAAAGGAATGGTGCCCTCTTACCGGTAGCCACCCACTTCAGGAACTTTAAAAAAACCTCTGGCCACCTACCTCCTGCTAAATGGCTGAGTCGGGTAAAACTAGCCCAAGACTCAGTGCAAGATATAGATTTGGGTCTCAGCTTTGCCTCTTGCGTGCTGGGTCATCCTGAACACATCACATCACCCTTCTGAGCCTCGGTTTCTGCACCTATAAATGGAGCTCATTACCTCTTCCCATAATTGTGGAATTACACGAGAGGCTTTCTGTGACAATGCTGAGCAGACTGTCTGGCACGAAGACAGCCTCCCCCAGCCCATCCTACCACCATAGATCAAATCAGACTATCATCGATTTATTACCAAAGGCAAAACACGCTAAAAGACAACTGGGCAGAAAAACGTGCTGTAGACAGTGGACGATGCCGTGGCTGATGGGATGAGGCTTCCTTCGTGAAACGCGTGTGTCCAGGTCTCCTTCTTCACCACCCCTTTGCTCCCCTCCGCGCACAGGCTCCGGCCCGGCTCCCGAAATCTCCCCTCCCACCC